TTGTCTTAAGCTATATTCCAAACATCACCCTGATGTTTATATGGGAGCATTTCTTTTACGGCATACGGTTTGATGGTGGGTATATGAGATTCGGCACAGCCGAATATAACATTCTTACTTGTTATTTCATTATAGTTGCCATTTGTTTTGGTATATAATTTATTCCATAATATATTTTTAGAAAATGGCCAATTGGATATATCGGTAGAATTATTTTATCAGCTTTAAAAACGCGGTAATTTGAGGTTCCGATATGGCTGCAAATAACATTGACAGTTTTCATGCTATGACAGTCATTTATGCATAATTTTAAAGCATTATGATTGCACTTTTATATGGTATATAATTTGTAGCATAATGTGTGTTTTTACTAATTGGTCAATTTGATAGATCGGTAGAATTATTGATCTATGTTTAATAAACGCTGTAATCTGAGCTTCCGATATAGTTGCAATTAACTTTGGCAGTTTTCGTGCTAGGAAAATTGCCATTTGTTTTGGTATATAATTTACTGCACAATGTATTTTTAGAAAATGGCCAATTGGATAGATCGGTAGAATTATTTTCCCAGGTTTAAAAAGGCGGTAATTTGAGGTTCCGATATGGTTGTGAATAACTTTGGCAGTTTTCGTGCTAGGACAGTCATTTATGCACCATTTTAGAGCATTATGATTGCACTTTAATTTGGTATATCATTTGTGGCATAATGTGTTAGTCTAAAAAATGGTCAATTTGAAGGATCAGTAGAATTATTGTTCTATGTTTAAAAATGCGGTAATTTGAGGTTCCGATATGGTTGCAAATAACTTATACAGTTTTCATGCTAGGGCAATAGTTTATGCATCATTTTAAAGCATTACAGTTCCACTTTATTTTGGTGTATAATTTGTGGCATAATGATTTTTACAAAAATTGGATAGATCGGTATATTTATTGGTACAGGTTTAAAAATGCGGTGATTTAAGGCTCCGATATGGTTGCAAATAACTTATATAGTTTTCATGTTATAACAGTCGTTTATATATCTTTTTATTGCATTATAGTTGCCATTTGTTTGGTATATAATTTATTGCATAATATATTTTAGAAAATGGCCAATTGGATAGATCTGTAGAATTATTTTCACAGCTTTAAAAAGGCGGTAATTTGAGGTTCCGATATGGTTTCAAATAACATTGACAGTTTTCATGCTATGACAGTCATTTATGCATCATTTTAAAGCATTATGATTGCACTTTAATATGGTATATATTTTGTAGCATAATGTGTGTCTATACCCTACACCACTTTAGTGGGGAGGGTAAAGTGGATTTGTGCTGATGTTTGTAACGTACAAAAATATTCATCCTAGACCCACCTTAAAGTATACCAATCGGCTTAGAATCGTTTTCTGGGTCGATTAAGGTATGTCCGTCCGTCCGTCCGCCCGTCCGTCTGGCTGGCTGTCCATGTAAACCTTGTTCGCAAGGTACAGGTCGCAATTTTCAAGATAATTGGATGAAATTTGGTAGGCACGTTTTAATTGGCCCAAGGACGAAGCCTATTGAAAATGGTTGAAATCGGTCCATTATTTCACCTAGCCCCCATAGAACAGAACCCCCCGAAAAGGGCTTCTGAGCTTATAATTATGTTAAATATACAGATATATCGATAAAATGCGACAATCATTTATGCATCATTTCAATGCATTACGATTGTACTTTAACTTGGTATATCATTTGTGGTAAAATGTATATCATTTGTGGTAAATTTGATGGATCGGTAGAATTGTTGTTCTATGTTTAAAAACGCTGTGATTTGAGGTTCCGATATGGTTGCAAATAACTTTGACAGTTTTCATGCCAGGACAATCGTTTATGCATCATTTAAAAGCACTACAGTTGCACTTTGTTTTGGGGTATAATTTGTGACATAATGAATTTTTACAAAAATTGTATAGTTTGGTATATTTATTGGTACTGCTTTAAAAATGCGGTAATTTAAGGCAACGATATGGCTGCAAATAACATTGACAGTTTTCACGCTATGGCAGTCATTTATGCATCATTTTAAAGCATTATGGTTGCACTTTAGTATGGTATATCATTTGTGGCATAATATGTATTTTTACAAATTGGTCAATTTGATAGATCGGTAGAATTATTGTTCTATGTTTAATAAACGCAGTAATCTGAGGTTCCGATATGGTTGCAATTAACTTTGGCAGTTTTCGTGCTAGGACAGTCGTTTATGCACCATTTTAAAGCATTAAAATTGCCATTTGTTTTGGTATATAATTTATTACATAATTGTTCAATTCACAACCCTCTTGTATTGGTGTAACGCAAGTTTTTTTGTAATAGTTTACACTGTTGTATCCGTGTTGTTGGTAATTTTCATTATTTAGCCCAATACATCTTTACATTTGTTATACCCTACACCACTTTAGTGGGGAGGGTATATTGGATTTGTGCTGATGTTTGTAACATACAAAAATATTCGTCCTAGACCCACCTTAAAGTATACCAATCGGCTTAGAATCGTTTTCTGAGTCGATTAAGCTATGTCCGTCCGTCCGTCCGTCCGTCCGTCTGGCAGGCTGGCTGGCTGGCTGGCTGTCCATGTAAACCTTGTGCGCAAGGTACAGGTCGCAATTTTCAAGATAATTGGATGAAATTTGGCACGCACGTTTTATTTGACCCAAGGACGAAGCCTATTGAAAATGGTTGAAATCGGTCCATTATTTCACCTAGCCCCCATAGAACAGAACCCCCCGAAAAGGGCTTTTGAGCTCATAATTTTGTTAAATTTACAGATATATCGATAAAATGCGGCACAACTAAGTTTTATAGAAGTCTGGATGACCCTGCCAAATTTCATAAAGATCGGGTCCCATTTGACCCTAGCTCCCATACAAAGTCCCCTTCAGAAAATTACTTGAATGTCCCAAATTAACTTATAAACACAAATATCGCGATGAAATTTAGCACAATAAAATATTATGTAAATATAAATATATTCACAAAATTTTATCGGGCTTGGTCCATATTTGCCCCTAGCCCCCATATAAAGCCTCTTTCAGAAAATTAGATTTTCATCCATAAATTGCTTAAATGTATCGGAACAAGGGAATATTGAAGATAAATGCTTTATTATGAAAAATAAATCACATTTAATATTCATAACTGGTGTAGGGTATCATATGGTCGGCCACGCCCGACTATACTTTCTTACTTGTTTTTCATATGTTTATTTTTTTGCGTATTAGACCCGAAGGCTATCATTCTCACGTGATTGTCAATTAATGGCTAAAAAGAAGAAAACAATTTGTTTTTAATGTAAACAAAAATGGAAAATAAGATTGACACGCCGGTAAGATAAATTAAAAAAACTATTTTTAAAATTTAATTATTTTTTTAAAATCCTTTTCAGCCTAAACCGAAACGCGTTCGACTAAATCCTACAAGGAAGTGGACCATTCCAGAAGAAAAAGCTCTAATCGAGTTCTTGATGGAAAATAGGGATTTTGAAGTATGTTTTTTGAAAAAGATAAATATTTTATTAATTTTACTAATTTTTAATTCAGAAACCATCAACGCAGGTCTTCTACAAACGCTTTTGTGAGGAAAAGCAATTGTCGATGCATTGGACACAGGTGCGCTCAAAGGTGAGAAACATGCGTGTTAGCTATAACAAAGCGAAGGCATGGGAAGGGTCAACTAGCGCCGGTAGTATGCAAGGGGATACTGTTAAAGGTGACTTATTTTATTAAAGAAATTTGTATCAAATTTTATCTGTATATTTCTTTGTTACAGCCACTTTGTTGAAAATGTGCAGCTACTTTGATGAACTCGATGATTTGTTTGGCAACAGAATTGTACAGTGCGCAATTATTGAAGATTCCTTAGAATCTGAATGTGAAAGTTTTTTAAACTCAACAGAAACTGAGGACATAACAACTGCATCCGATACATCGGTTACTAACAATGCTCCCTCAACTAGTCGCAAAGGAATTTACTCCCGCACAGCAGTATCGGAAATATTAATGATGCAGACTGAAATGTTGGAAATAAAAAAACAAAAACTGGATAATGAGAAGAATATTAAGGAAAGAGAAGTAAATATAATGGAAAGGACGTTGCTGTTGAAAGAAAAGGAATTGGAATTAAAAGAAAAGGAAATTGATAATCAAAAAGAAATAAAGATAATGGAGATAAAAATGAAAGAACGTCTAGCAATGGAGGAGTTGAAACTAAAATATAAATAGTAGTCTTAGCACAGTCTATATACTAGACTAAAGTCAAGTCTGTAGTCTATTCTATAGTCTATTCTATAGTCTAGCCTATAGTCTAGTCTATAGTCTAGTCTATAGACTAGTCTATAGTCTAGCCTATAGTCTAGTCTATAGTCTAGTCTATAGTCTAGTCTATAGTCTAGTTTATATTCTAGTCTATAGTCTAGTCTATAGACTAGTCTTTAGTCTAGTCTATAGTCTAGTCTATAGTCTAGTCTATAGACTATAGACTAGACTATAGACTAGAATAAAAACTAGACTATAGACTAGACTATAGACTAGACTATAGGCTAGACTATAGACTAGACTATAGACTAGACTATAGGCTAGACTATAGACTAGTCTATAGACTAGACTATAGACTAGACTAAAGACTAGTCTATAGACTAGACTATAGACTAGACTATAGACTAGACTATAGACTAGACTATTGACTAGATTATAGACTAGACTATAGTCTAGTCTATAGACTAGTCTATAGTCAGTTTATAGACTAGTCTATAGTCTAGTCTATGGTCCAATCTACAGGAAATTACTGATGTAATATGTTTCTTTTGAAATAAAACATTATTTTATTTAATAAAATCCGATTACATATAAACATGGTTCAACATTTTTACATATTGGGTGGTTTTCTATAAAACTAAGCAAGTCATTTCGATTATTTATTGTTGGTAAAGTTTGTGGTAAAGTTACACCCGTTCTTTGTGAATTTACATCTTTTGAGTTAAACCGTAGAAGTTCCATGGTAACCAATAGTTACTTGTCTTATGCTCAATTTGTGATCGCAAACAGCTTAAATTTTAAGGCAATATTGGCGTTTACGAGAAAAATACAGTTCATGATTGTTTGTAGGTGCTTCAGCCAATTTAATTTCACAGCCATCGATATAGCCAACACATCCTGGCAATTCGCTTTCGTTGCTGAAACCAATTGAGATCTTTCTAATTCACCTGGCCAATATAAAACATTGTTTTTGAGTTTTAAAATGGCTTTGAATACGCGTCTTGTAACATTTTGAATTGTTCTGCCATCACCAATTCCAAAAAGTGAAGCTACCTTGCGTACGGAAGCTCCATCGCCAGAGGAGCCTAGTCGATACAGAACAATTTTTAATTGTAGCTCAACTGGAAGTTGGGATTTGTGGCAAATTGTTTGAAAAACTTCATCATTTTGGATAAGGTCAAGGACGTGGGCAAATTCTTCTGGATTTAATCGTACCATTTGATTAAACCTATTGTCATCGAATTTATTTAAAACGTTATGCCTCCAGTCTGACGATTTAGGTAATCCTAAATGGACGCTTCTACGATGCGTTAGAAGATGAATCATGTTCATTGTGAAATCTTCTTGAATTTCATCCTCTTCTTCTTCGTCACCTGGAAATTCTATATTAAGTTTAAAACTGAAGATAAAGAACAGGAATATAGCTTACTTGAGTTAACCATTAACATTTGGAAATGATAGTTTTTGCATATAGCTGAAATTATTTTATTTTTCTCACTTTTCATTTATTTAAAAATTAAAAACATACAAATTATTTTGGTCTTCTTCTTTTTAATTTTTTGACGTTTGACAATGAGAAATACAATGTGACAGTGAAAAATACAACTGGTTGTTCACAGCCGAATATGTGTATAGCGTATTTCAATAAATTTTACAAAATACAGAACGGTTGTGAATTGGACAAATGTATTTTTAGAAAATGGCCAATTGGATAGATCGGTAGAATTATTTTCACAGCTTTAAAAAGGCGGTAATTTGAGGCTCCGATATGGTTGTGAATAACTTTGACAGTTTTCATGATATGACAGTCATTTATGCATCATTTTAAAGCATTATGATTGCACTTTAATTTGGTATATCATTTGAAGGATCGGTAGAATTATTGTTCTATGTTTAAAAACGCGGTAATTCGAGGTTCCGATATAGTTGCAAATAACTTTGACAGTTTTCATGCTAGGGCAATAGTTTATGCATCATTTTAAAGCATTACAGTTGCACTTTATTTTGGTGTATAATTTGTGGCATAATAAATTTTTACAAAAATTGGATAGATCGGTGTATTTATTGGTACAGGTTTAATAATGCGGTAATTTAAGGCTCCGATATGGTTTCAAATAACTTTTATAGTTTTCATGTTATAACAGACGTTTATACATCTTTTTATTGCATTATAGTTGCCATTTGTTTTGGTATATAATTTATTGTATAATGTATTTTTAGAAAATGGCCAATTGGATAAATCGGTAGAATTATTTTCCCAGGTTTAAACATGCGGTAATTTGAGGTTCCGATATGGTTGTGAATAACTTTGACAGTTTTCATGCTATGACAGTTATTTATGCATCATTTTAAAGCATTACAGTTGCACTTTGCTTCGGTGTATAATTTGTGGCATAATTAATTTTACAAAAATTGGATAGATCGGTATATTTATTGGTACAGGTTTAAAAATGCGGTAATTTAAGGCTCCGATATGGTTTCAAATAACTTTTATAGTTTTCATGTTATAACAGTCGTTTATACATCTTTTTATTGCATTATAGTTGCCATTTGTTTTTGGTATATAATTTATTGCATAATATATTTTTAGAAAATGGCCAATTGGATAGATCGGTAGAATTATTTTCACAGCTTTAAAAACGCGGTAATTTGAGGTTCCGATATGGCTGCAAATAACATTGACAGTTTTCACGCTATGACAGTCATTTATGCATCATTTTAAAGCATTATGATTGCACTTTAATATGGTATATCATTTGTAGCATAATGTGTATTTTTACAAATTGGTGAATTTGATAGATCGGTAGAATTATTGTTCTATGTTTAATAAACGCAGTAATAGAAGGTTCCGATATGGTTGCAATTAACTTTGGCAGTTTTCGTGCTAGGACAGTCGTTTATGCACCATTTTAAAGCATTAAAATTGCCATTTGTTTTGGTATATAATTTACTGCATAATGTATTTTTAGAAAATGGCCAATTGGATAGATCGGTAGAATTATTTTCCCAGGTTTAAAAAGGCGGTAATTTGAGGTTCCGATATGGTTGTGAATAACTTTGGCAGTTTTCATGCTATGACAATCATTTATGCATTTTGGAGCATTATGATTGCACTTTAATTTGGTATATCATTTGTGGCATAATTTGAAGGATCGGTAAAATTATTGTTCTATGTTTAAAAACGCGGTAATTTGAGGTTCCGATATGGTTGCAAATAACTTTGACAGTTTTCATGCTAGGGCAATAGTTTATGCATCATTTTAAAACATTACAGTTGCAGTTTATTTTGGTGTATAATTTGTGGCTTAATGAATTTTTACAAAAATTGGATAGATCGGTATATTTATTGGTACAGGTTTAGAAATGCGGTAATTTGAGGCTCCGATATGGTTGCAAATATCTTTTATAGTTTTTTATTGCATTATAGTTGCCATTTGTTTTGGTATATTTATGCATCATTTTAAAGCATTATGATTGCACTTTAATATGGTATATAATTTGTAGCATAATGTGTGTTTTTAGTAATTGGTCAATTTGATAGATCGGTAAAATTATTGTTCTATGTTTAATAAACGCTGTAATCTGAGGTTCCGATATGGTTGCAATTAACTTTGGCAGTTTTCGTGCTAGGATAGTCGTTTATGCACCATTTTAAAGCATTAAGATTGCCATTTGTTTTTTGTATATAATTTATTGCATAATGTATTTTTAGAAAATGGCCAATTGGATAAATCGGTAGAATTATTTAAAGCACCATTTTAAAGCATTAAAATTGCCATTTGTTTTTATATATAATTTATTGCATAATGTATTTTTAGAAAATGGCCAATTGGATAAATCGGTAGAATTATTTTCCCAGGTTTAAAACGCGGTAATTTGAGGTTCCGATATGGTTGTGAATAACTTTGACAGTTTCATTGCTATGACAGTTATTTATGCATCATTTTAAAGCATTGCAGTTGCACTTTGTTTTGGTGTATAATTTGCGGCATAATGAATTTTTACAAAAATTGGATAGATCGGTATATTTATTGGTACAGGTTTAAAAATGCGGTAATTTAAGGCACCGATATGGTTGCAAATAACTTTTATAGTTTTCATGTTATAACAGTCGTTCATACATCTTTTTATTGCATTATAGTTGCCATTTGTTTTGGTATATA